AGGATGGGATAGGGATGGGCGATGAGCCGCGCTTGGTTGAGGTTTCGGACCTTTTCGGAAAGCTTGTTCTGCTTCTCCCGTAGAGACCTATCGTCAGAATTAATGTGGCCTGTCAATGAACCGCCATTGTCCGTGGACCGATCAACATCTGAAAACTCTGGCTGGTGTGAGCCGATCTTGCTTGCGTTGCCGATGACAGAGCGATGCATGCTCGACTTGCCCAGGACGCTTGCTCTGCCAGAACGAGCTCCGGTCGCCTGGCTCTTGCTTCGGCGCGAACGACCAAAGCCACCAGAGGCCTCTCTTGTCGATGCAGCGGGTCCGAAAGAAGACTCCTCACGAGCCTTGATGCCAAAGTGCTCGTAGATGCGCTTGCGCTGTGCGTCCCATTCCATCGTCACGTTGTCCTCCAAGAAGTTATCAAAGTCGCGGACCGATCTCTCCAAGCCGTCCGCAATCATGCTCATCGTCGTCTTCGTCTGGAGGTTCGCGAGGTACGTCTCGACGTCGATTTCGGCGGGTGAGTAGCCAGAGGGTCTCTCGACACGGCCAGTCTGCAGATCGAGTGATCCAAGGTCTTTTGCGGCGGTAGAAGGATCCACGCCAGATGCAGCGAGAAGGTAGTGCGCTCTACCATCGGAAGGACGCTCCTGAGCCTTTGTTCCCAGCTTCTTCAAGCGTTGGCGAAGGTCGCCCAGTCCCAATTGCAGACTGGGGAGGTCCTCCATGCCATTTTCACCATCTCCTTGCTTTTTGCTCTTGGCGAACAGGCTGTCAAAGTATGCGCCTGACGGTTGACCCTGCTGGATTTGAGACTGATTGTTTGTATTCTGCTGCGGTTGCTGCGATGAAGGGAAGAGTGAGCCGCCGAGAGTGTTGTTTGCAGTAGTCTGGCCGAAGGTCGAGCCCGTCGTTTGTGCCTGGGGTTGGCTTTGTTGACCGCCTCCAATGGCGCCGAAGAGAGATGGCTTCTGTGCCGTCGATGCTCCCAGCCCGCCCAAGCCTCCCAAGCTGAGTCCGCCTGATTGTTGCTGCTGGCCTTGTTGCTGCTGTTGTTGCTGAGGCGCACCAAACAGCGAGGATCCTGTCGCCGGTTGTGCCGTCGTCGATGTGCCGAAGAGACCGCCGGTAGTCGCAGGCTTGGCCTGGTTGAGGTTTCCGAACAGACCGCCTGAAGCAGGCGTAGAGCCAGTCTGTTGGGTGCTGGTCGTGTTCTGCTGTCCAAACAAACCACCTCCTGTGCCGCTCTGTTGCTGGGTTCCGCTGTTCGAGGTTCCCAGACCACCCAGAGGGTTGTTGCCGAAGAGCGACATATCGTAATGTTTTCGTTGTCGCGTCCAGTCGTAGGCGGGATTGGGCGCAACGGTGAGGGGGATTTCGAAGGTGTTGTCAATGGATGAACGCGCTTGAGACAGCTGGCCAGGCGCGTTTGGAGAATGAAATTTTGAGGTTTGGGAGAGCTCTCAGCCAGAGCTCCACTGATTGGTGGGGAGCGACCAGGCAACGGCCTGCATAAATCCTCCGCACGGGGAAAGAGCCGCCATCCCTCAATACTTACGGCCCCAATTGAGTGCGCCGTCTCCCCCGGCGCGAATGAAGACACTCGGAGTCTATTTCCATGAGCTGGAATACATTTATGATGGCAAGCCATTAACGTGACGAGCCGCAGTGGCTCTGCTCGTAGTTGGACCTCTCATCGAACGAATAAAGCATTGAATTCAAGTAAGCTGAGCTACTGGAACACCCTGGAGCTCTCCAGCCGGATCAGACGACTTTGCATATGAGCTAGCTAAGCATCCGTAGTCATTATCATGTTAGTTGTCCTAAGACTTATTTCCTTTCCCCCTTGTCGCTCTTCCATATGGATGTTCCTATCTTGGCAGGTATTATCCGATTTGTATGCCGCTATTCCATAATCACGTAAGCACTGGTAGACGCAGACTGCTGCTGTTGATATGCGAACGACGGATACGGTCTTTATATGTGATACTGAGCCGACAGACATGACAGTCAGCGACCATCTTTGCGGCGAGATACAAATAGAATCAAACCTGAATTTAAGGAATGTGTTACTACTAACTACTAAAAAAGAGTTTATTCATGACTCGGCGACACCAACCCGGCAAATTCGGAAAGCCATTCTACAGCGGTGGGCTTGTAGATTATACCAATGGTCTCCACCAGCCGTTATAGTCGATCGTATCAATTTGCCAGGAGACGAGGCCCCAATTCGACGGCCGGCGGATGGTCAAACGCCGTCGGTGATGATGATACTCTCCGAAGACGAGTCACAGTTCTCTTTTTGTTGGTAACTATTCAACGTTGGGGGAGAGCAAAAGACTTGATTTGACAACTAGAAAGATAAATAGTGTGATAGACGACGTCAACTTACACACTTCTTTGACATCATTATCAGACTTCGACATCAAACAGATCCTACCACACACTTCAAGCTCGCGTTGATATTGCAATTCCAATCTGCTCATCAAAAATGCGTTCCGCCACATTGCTTCTCGTCATTTGCAACGTTCCGGCAATCTTCGCCACTTGCAGGTCCGTCACGCAGCCATGCGCAAGTTCTTCTGGAGAGACCAATGGCAGTTGAGGAACTTGACTTTGACTGAAAATATTTCCCAGACTAATTTTCAAACTTGCTACGGGTTGGAAATGGCATCGACCTGTGCTTCTGACGAGTACGTGAGTCGCGAGGGAAGTTGCCAGTCTGTTACATCTGCTACCAACAGCCATGTCACGGTAAGCCATCTCTCTTCCGACAGACACAGAATCGTGGCTGATCGAAATTCCCAGTGCGAGTGTTGTAAAAAGAATTGAAAGGAAGACGGTTCTTCGGGGGTGTTGGGGCGAAACCTAGACCATTCAACTTGAAGGCGGCGAGGGCAATCCCGTCTCACAGGAACAAGTGCGTCAGCTATCTGGCCCTGCTGGGAGACCGTGTATTAGGTTAGAAGATATCCACGAAATAAGCCTGTTGGCTCTCAGCCACGAACGTAGATCATACAATTAGAGCAGCCTGGCTTTTGACCGACTAGAATCCCATTCATAGCGATTATTTCCCGAGTGTAACCTTGACGGCAAGCTCCTTAAAATCCCCTGCTCCAGGCGTTGTCGCCCCTTTGACTTTCCCTTCAGATGAACCAAGTAGGCCCAGGCGTCAACCCCTTTAGTAATGATGTCTACCAGGCATCGGAACCGTGTCCAGCCCCGTGTCTAGTCCTATGGCAGTCACTACACTCCCTGTCTTCCTGTCTAAGGTGGGGTTTGATGAGAAGACACTATCACTCATTGCTGCCAGTATGTAACGGCTCTTGATAGGGCCCGTTTGTAGATGGCGTTCTGAAGCTAGCAGCAACCGCAGGCGATGTGATTGCCATGTTTCCAAGCGGCTGACGTCCAACGACAAGTAGACCTCTGGTTCTCAAAACTAACATGATATCGAGTTGTGTTGTATCCTTAGAGTACTCTCACGAGCTCCCTTATTATGTGCAGGACTAGTCAATAAAATCAATGGACATGGAACATCAGAATATTTATTATGATGCCTCGTTGGAGTTTGTAGCTGTTCCCGTAAATACAATGATATCTGACTACGAAGTTGCATACCCTCCCATCATATCCTTCAAGAAGGATCGTCTCTCTTCTTCACAAACTCCGTCTCAAAAGGAAGCCCGTTCGACATCCTCACCGCACCATAAAGCGCAGAGACGTCCAGCTGACGTCCCACAGACTCGCCGTACGCTTTCGCCACTTCCAGATTCTTCATAACAAGCGAAGAAACTCCAAGTTGCACTCCAAGATCCGTTGCAGCAGTCTGAATCTCTTGCCCGCCCAGAAGAGCAAGACCAACATCAGCCCACGGCCTCTCGCCTCGTGGAGGCATGTAAGCTCCGGTGGTCAGGCGCTGCGAGATCATGAGCCCTGGCAGGCCGTGCTGCTGCTGGATCAGATTCTCGACGTCGGCAACTCCTAAGCCAGCCTTCTCCGCAAGGACGTGAGCTTCAGCAATGACCTCTATCATACCGATTCCGAGTGAGTTTCTGTTTGATATGTCTTAGTACCTTCTCTCTCACCAAAGAAGAAATGCCTGGAGGTTCAGTCACTCACGCAACGGCTTTCAGACTGCTTGCAAGCCGCACATCATCCCCGAGCCGCAAGACCCCTCTACCCATCACACCAACAATGTACGGGTTGACAATATCGATGGCAGCCTCCGCTCCTGCCAATATCCAAAGAAGTTGTCCTTTTGCGGCTACGGGGCTGGCACCGAGGACAGGCGCGGCGACGTACTCTGCGCCCTTTTCCCTCAATCTCAACCTCACTTGGGCTGAAATCTTGGGATGGATGCTCGAGGTATCGACAACCACCTTTTTGTCAAAAGGATTCGTCGAACCGTTTGACTCCAGCATTGTGTTCAGCACTGTTTCAACTGCATTTCCGTCGCTTAGAGACAAGAAGATGATGTCAGACTTTGCGGTAAGCTCATCGAGGCTGCGAGAAACACCACCCAAAGTTTCCAGGGCTGCACCCCTGGACTTGGTGCGATTGTAGAAGCTGAGGCTCGGCGCGCCGGACTGCGAAAGGTGCTTTTGTAGATTGGTCGCCATACCCAACCCCATGGACCCCAAGCCTTTTTATTCGCGCATGTTAGTGAGCTGCCAAGTGATAGGTTCTGAAAGGGGAGTGTTCAGCTTGCCTATCCATCCTAGCCTCAGGTGAGAACTAGCCGCGGGTACAACAACACTGCTCATGATGTAATGTGTATAAATTCGAAACTGATTTATTGGAGTACTATTTTATGATGAGAGCTTGGCAAGACACCAAGCCTTTTAAGCTTTGGAGAATTGCACATTGTAGAGCTGACAGTAAGCCTTGATGACACTGCAAGTCCCCCGGGGTAGGATCTAAATGTCCGACGGAGGCGGCGATTACATCCTCAGCTTTTTAACTTTAGAAGCATCTCTCATTGACGACGGCAATTCGTTGATAGTTTCTCGTGTTTCGTATCAGATATCCTGAATTCTATTGATCTAGACGTGAATGCGCATGAAGTGCTGGGTGTGTATATAAATAATCGCGACTTTCCTTCCTTGGCACCAATACCAATAAGTGACTTCTCGCATCCTCACTCAGATATTTTGTCAACAACAGCCCACCTCGTGACTATGGCATCAAAATCACTCCCAGTTCTAGTCATCATTGGCGGCGGCGGCATCGGTCTTGCCACAGCCCACCGCCTCGGCCCCGGCCGACGAGTCCTTTTTGCAAGCCGCTCCCCCTCTACCCTCAACGCGGGGGCCGAATCTCTCGGAAAGGAGGGCATTGAGGTCACCACGCAACAGGTCGACGTCTCCTCCTATGACTCCGTCGCAGCCGTCGCAAAGGCGGCCGCGGCCCTGGGCGCCATTGAGGCCGTCGTACTGACATCTGGTGTCAGCGCGGTAGTCGGGTCAGTCGAGATGATTCTAACAGTGGACATTCGGGGCACCGCGAATGTCATTGATGCTTTTGGCAAGGAAGTTGTCATGCCTGCAGGTTCTTCGCTTGTTTGTACCGGGAGTATAGCGCAAGGCTTATGCCCACCCATGTCCCCAGAATTGGAGACGCACCTCGCTACGGCACCGCTCTCGGCCCTCTTGTCGCCGAACCAGGAGCTGGATCATATCATCAGCGGAAAGAGTAGAGTTGCGTACTATGTTGCGAAGAAGGCCAACTTCTTACGGGTTCAGGCGGCAGCGGCGTCGAGAGAGTATGCCGGCAGAGGTGTCAGGGTCAATTGTGTTAGTCCCGGGATGACGGAGACGAACATGCTGACGGCGGAAAAGTCGGTGGATATGGTGGGTGATATGATTACCGCTGCGCTAAAGGTTCATCCTTTGAAAAGGGCGTCCACGGCAGATGAGATTGCTCAGGCGATTGAGTTCGTTGTTCGATGCGGCTACGTCAACGGAGTTGACATTCTCGTTGATGGGGGAATCAGCGCGGTCGAGTTGTGGAGCAGCATAGTCTATCCCGAGAAGGCAGCGAATCTGAGGAAGTCCATTGAAGAATAGCTCTGGACTCCAGACTTATAGTCGTCAGCTGAAGGAAAAGTAGTTGAGAAGCTCGAATGGTCAATAATATCTCATCCACGACCATGCCTAAATTTGCTGAAGTGTAGTAAGAGACAGAGCTTGAATCTAGCTTTTGCTTCCTAACGTTCCTGGGACTTGATCTCTCATATTTGATTTATATCAAACTGATGTCCTTCTGAGGCATCGCGCCGTGATCTCATACCTCCCTTTTTCACGGTTAAATAAGGTAGTACTACAAAAGAAACCCGCCTCGGATTCTCAGGACATGGAGATAAATGCGGGCACTCGAACACTGAACGGATCACTTCCGTGGATATAAGATCTAAGTTGAGGCCCCAAACATGCTCATTTCCCTCACAAGCCCACATCAGAGTTGGTTCTGCCTAGATATTATGATAATTGCGATCTAGGATTGAGACAGGGAGCGGTATCCCACCGGAAAATTGGATCTGTGAGCAAGGGGATAGGATGGATTATCACACAAATATGTCAGGTGTCGGCCGACAGTGACCGACACGGAAACCCACGCCGCATAGGTGCATCGTCAGCCGAGTCCGTCAACCACTCACGCTGCAGACTTCAGTTATTGCTTACGATGTGGGGTCATCTCACTTCTCAAAGGGTCTGTCCGTCATATATCCCCCGTCGTGCTTGTTTACTTAAACTTGATCTCAAGCTTCAATTTCATCATGAGACTTCGCCGGTCTATCGCAAAAGTCTAGCATCCTCAAGATCTTCTCCATCGAACGTCTCCCAAAACGTCTCCCAATAATGGCCAATCCAACGTCCTCACTACCCCCAAAGTCCTCACGACATCCCCTCCTAACAACCCTCTTCACAACCATCTTCGCCCTCCTCGCAGCCGCGGGTGTCTACTTCATCCGCATCCAACCAGGCCACACCTCCTTCACACAAAACCTCACCAACCTCGTCGAGACGGGGAGACTTCAAGATGGCTCCCGCCTCTACACAACCTACACCGGTCTCAAGCCGCTCGACCTTGGCCTCACCTACCTCGTCGCCTCCTTCGCCCAGGGACCCCTGAACCTCAACGAGGCGGCGAGGATCCAGCAGATACATTTTCTGCTCAACTTCTTCCCGGCGGTAGTAGTCTTCAACATTGAGGCCTATCGATCCAGGAACCGATGGAGTTTCCTCAGCTTGTAAGTCCCCGTCCCTCCCTTCCTCACAACTTTCTCAACTCAAAGAACGAGGAATGGACTAACACAATGAGATAGTCACGCCGCCTGGGCAGCCCTCTACCAAACAGTAGGCGGCGGCGTCATAATCCCCCTCTACCACCTCGCCTACACCCTCCTCACCACGAGGAAAACCTACCTCGTCTCCGGCGGCGACGTGCCTCTCCCCCTCGCAAAGGCCCTCCTCCCGGCCACCCTACTCCTCTTCGCCCTCCCGACCGCGGCAATGTACTACCCCTGGTCCTTCCCCCGCCTCGCGCAGAACCTCATCGCCTTTTGGCAGGCCGCGCCCGTCCTCCTCAATGCTGGGATATGGCTCCTAGCAAGCACAATCTACAAGTCTTCACCCGAGAGGACCGCCACCCCTGAGGCCAAGAAGACGACGATGACGACCGCCCGCCAGCAAACAACCCTCGCCCTCCGTCGCCTCTACTCCGCCGCCATCCTCGTCGCAGCAGCATCCCATTTCTACACCCTCTCCACCCTCTTCACTTCCCAAAACAAATCTTTAACCCTGACGAAGGTTTTCCTCCCGCTCAACGACATCTCAACCGGCGACGTCGGCCCAGGCCTCTTCCAAATCTTCCAATGGGATTTTTGGCTCATCTTTGGCTCCTCGAGGCTGTGGTGCGCCCTCGTCGTCTACGACGTCCAGAAGCAGCGGCACGGCAAGGTCGACCTCAAAAAGTTTCTGGCGTACTACGTCATGGCCAACAACTTGGAGTTAATCGTCGGGCCGGGGGCCGTGTTGGCGGGTGTCTGGCGGTGGAGGGAGGACAGGTTGGTCGAGATTGAGGCGGAGGCTGGTCGTCTGCAGAAGGAGCATTCTCTCTAGTGAGGAGAGAAAGAGAGAGAGAGAGAGAGAGAGAGAGAGAGAAAGAGAGAGAGAGAGAGAGAGAGAGAGAGAGAGAGAGAGAGTGCTAGAAAGTAAGTGAGGCCAGTCAGACAAAGGCCTACGCAGTTGGCTTCAAGATGACTTCCAAGTTGTTCAGGGGTATTGTCACAACCACATGGCGGTAAGCAGAGAGCCGCATGTTACATCACTTCTTCAATGGACCAAAAACTCACAGGACAAATGTACCAGTGTCGACATTATTCCCCGGCCTAGACCGATAATGTCTGCCTCTATGTAAAATAGTTGGAAAAGCACCCCTCGCTATATAATACTCGACACACCCATCTTTGGTCCTCTAGACCGTGTCTGCTCCCTCGGCAGAGCTACATGCATCGAGACTCCTCGCGGTACTCCAACGAATGAGGGAAAATAACAAAGTGAACTATCAAGAAAGATTTGAGGGGCTGTAATTGCCCAAGTGAGATAGATGGCTTGCTGGTTCCGTGGGGAACTTCTTTCCATACCGGCGCTGCGCAACGTCCAAGTCCTTAACCCAGACCCAAAAACCGGCACGGCATTCCTTAGCCGTGCCAGTCATCTTAACCCAGTCCTAGTCGCTGTAGGTAGGGGGCGGAACTCTGTTCCACGTATGTCCCCCGCAGATATCAACTCCGTTTCTCCCCTTTGATCCGAAAAACAAGAACCGAACAAGGCCATATTTTTGACCGAATGCGTGACGTAATTGGTTTGAAGCAAGTCAAAATGATCTATAGGACCTCAACAACACGGTCCTGAACGTTCCTTACAATTTCCGGAACCTGATCCACCTTAGATCCAACCATGGACCAGGCCGCGGCAAAGTAGTGAGGATAACGGCTGTATAACATAGCAGCCAAAATACATGTAAGAAGGGGAATCTGGTACAAGTCAGTCTAACGGGTCAAGTTGGAATGTATGCATGGTGGAGCTTACCCAAATGAACCAAAGGTTCTTGTCGCTACGCATGCCCTTGAATTTGGCCTCGTGGGCCCGGAGGAAGTTCTGTTGCTGCTCCTTCGTAATGGCACTCTTGCGTCCAATTCTGAGTACGCTCGGCACTGGCGCCGTGCTTGACGATGCCTCGGTGACCTCGATTGTCTGCGTGTCGTAAATGGTTGCACATTTAATATCGGCAGCAGCCTCAGCAGCGGCCCCGAGAGCGGCGGCTTGCTTCTTGTCGAGTTCATCTTGCGGGAAAATCTCGTCGTAGGATGGCGGCGGTGCCGAGTTGTTGTTGGTGTTCCGGAACGATGACAGATCCCACCATCTTCCGTCTATCGGCCTAGGTGTCTCTTCGTCTGCCGATCCAGGCCGTGAGCCGGACATGCCCGGCATGAGCGAGGTGACCCTACCCATGAGAGGATTCTGCTGGAGGTATGCATGATAGTCGGGAAGCATTGGCATCCTAGGCAGAGCAGGCATCTGCGGGAGGTTGGGGAAGTGCATCGTCATGGCTTGCTGGAACTGTTGGATCTGGGCAGTGAATTGGTCTCTGACGGCCGAGGCAATGGCTGTTGTGGGCGACGCTAGTCCTGGTTGAATCTCGTCTTGACCCCGTTGGAGGATGCTCTGTCTATCGGGGCGCGGCGTGAACGCATGGCTGCTGGATCGGCGCCGCATGTCAAGCCAAGAGTCTTCTTCTTCCTGTTCGTCGTCCTCGTAATCTCCCGACGAGTACTCGGGGCTTTCTTCGCCGTCATCTGCAGATTCTGACTCGCTGGACATGCCCAAGGGATCCCACAGCGATCTCAGGGACGCGGCACTGCTTGCTCTGCTGTGCAACGAGCCACCGCTTCTGGAGCGAATGTGACGCTCGCAACGACGGATGTGATCGATGACCTTGCGTGAGCGAGCAACATCGGCCGGGCGAAGTCCCGAAAGACTGCGGATCGTGGGGTCAGCACCCGCTTGCATCAATCTGCGAACAATCGACTCATGGTCGTTCATTGCTGCCAGATGCATAGGAGTGAAGCCACCCTTGTCCCGCAAGTCTGGGTTAGCACCGCGTGCCAAAAGTCCCGCAATGAAGCGATGGTATCCCAAGGCACAGCCCATGTGCAACATCGTCTGACCAGTAGACCTTCTTAAATCAAGTCTGGACATTCTCGGGTTGTCATCCAGGTCGATGAGCTCCAAGCACTTCAGAAGTTGGGATTCGGTGCTCATGTTGAAGGTGCTTCCGCCAAAGCCGCCGACACTGCCTGAGGGGCCAGATGCACCCCAGCTTGAGTCACCCTGACCGATAATGCGCTGAGCAAGTTCCTTGACATCAACCATCTGTCCAGACATTTTGTGGCCCAGGATTGAGAGAGCTGTGCGAATGAGCTTCTCTTCGTCGTCGTCGACATATTTGAACATTTGGTTCTGTTTGGACATGGCGGGGAACGGTGGTCCAGCTTGCGTTTGACTTTGCTTGAAGGTAACAAGAACGGCTCCAGAGACAGGCGAGGGAGGCAGAAGACAGACAAGGGATGATTCGCCCCAGAAAGTAGTTGTAGTGGCCTTCTGGTCGCCGAACAGCACTTCCAGACCCTGGTAGAAGCTGGCTCCGAGGATCGTAACCTCGATGCCACCAGACTTCGGACCTTCGTTGGGAATGATCTTGTGAATGGTCGGCTGTGGTCGCGCTGGAGCAACGGCGTTCGTCGGCATGTATGACATCGTGTTGAACTGGTTCTGTGACACCACGTTCACGCCGTTACGCAGTCCACTGGGGCTTGCAGCGCGGCTCTGATGTGCTGATGCGGGCGCAGAGAACATCGGCATGGCAACATTGTCCATGCTGGCTGAGCGATTGGCATTCGTGAAAAGTGTCTGGTCGTTGCTGTTGGGCGTAGGCGGGCCAGTGGCGTATGCTTGGGGCATGGGCGGCGGAGCACCGTTCTGAACAAACACAGCTTCAGGAGGAGCCTGGAAGCTGGTCAGGTTGGGCGTGAATGGTGATGTTGATGCAGAAGCAGCCGCGGGAACTGGGTTGGGCATCTGTGTTGGCGGCGGCGTTGTGTCCAGGCGCGTCATTGCCATTCCTATCGGTACTCTCGATCCTGTGCTGGCCTTTCGCTTCTTCGTCTGAGGTCCGCCATGCGCGTTCGGAGACTGCGGTCGCGATAACGAACGAGGAGTGGTGCTCGAAACTGGAGGAGCAGGCGCTTTAGCCGTCGTGTTCGCAACTGGGAATTGAGGAGCGGAATTGCGGTGCATGTTTTGCAGATCGGAGCTGGAATGAGATAGTCGGAACGGCGTTCCACCATTGCTGAGTGGGCTGGATTCCATCGGAGCGTTCATCATGGGTACCAAGTTGCTGCTGTTGTTCTCAGGGGCTTGGGTTGCAGGTGGGTTCAACTGTTGCGGGATCGGGTGCGTCTTGTGATCGTCGGTGATCATTATGGATTGAGACATCTCCTGTGCGACAACACGATCTTGCCAGTCCTTGATGGTGAAGATGACCTGGAATCCCAACTTCTCGGCATGGTGCCTGCAGTAGCAAGCGATTCTCATCGGCGCATCGACTTGCATGGCACCGGGAGGCGCCACAGGCTCCGGCCGTCCTGTCACTGTAGAGTCTGACACGACGCCGTTGGGCGTCTGCCACTCCTTCACTTCTTGCGTGTTAAAGACGATCACCCGCCTGGTTTCATCGCGATTCCACATCTCCTCTTCTTCAACCTTCTTGATCTTCTTCCTCGCTGCTCGTTTACGCTCACGGGTGATACAGCCGGCGCAGATGCGCACTTCGCCTCCGTTTTGCGGCTTGTTCTCCTCGTCGTCCTCGTCGCTAACGGATCGGGCGTTCATGACGGGGCTGTGAGTGGCGGCTGCGGCGCGCTGGAAGGCCTTGCGCTTGTTGTCGTCGTTTTGCATCGCACTAGTGCAGACGAGCATGGTGTACAGTTCCAACATATCGGGTGTCCGTTCGGCTGGTGGCTTGGCTAGTAGCTTTGGCTTCGAGATAGTGTGCACTGGTAGGTGTAGACGCTTGATACCAGGAGGTAGCGGGAAAAGCGTCAACTTGATAGGAATCTGGGTCTCAACGCGCGATTTGGAGGGTGTTGGGTGGATCGTCAACCGACAACCACGGCTGAGGAAATCAAAATTCGGCTGAGTGAAAATCGGCATTTGTTGTGGCATCGGGACCGGGAGACCATCGTGTTGGTGGTATTGCGCTTGCATAGGCATATTGGCAACCATCTGGTGCGCCCCGGGATCCAGCTTGCCTGGCCAGAAGCCTTGCGGGTTCATAGCACCCATTGCGGCAGCGTTGAAGTCTGGTGCGCCGGGCGAGGGCGAGCTGTTGAAGAAGGCTGACGGGGATGCTTCATGGCTGGTTATCATATTTTGTGACATTGGAGAGCATTCTCTCGAGTTGGTCATCTTCAACCCATTCATGGGCTGCGATATGGAGTATTGCTGGGTCGGGTTAGCTGGGTTCTGTTTCTATCTTGTCGCGCTGCGAAATTCCACTCACTGAGTTCCGCTTGCCGTGGTTTGCGTTTCGGGGATTGCCCGGTGCGATCGTTTTTGGCGGTCCATTCGTGTGGATGGTGGGCATCTCTGGCGACTCCATACTCATGGCACCGGCTGCGTTAGGACTACTTGAAGCACTCTCAAAGTCGAAGGACTCGTCCATAAATTTGTCATCGTTCAGATCCAGGCCGTCGGGCAGCGTCGCGTCAGCATTTGCGCCGAACATAAAGATACTGTCTTCTGGACGACCGACAAAGGCCGAGGCGTCCCAGTCGTGCTTGATGTCGGCTCCATCGGTCATCATTACGTCGGCGGTCTTCCCTGAGGCAGAACTGGCTGTCCTTTTCGAGGACGCAGAGTCGGAGGAAGAGTCTCGGAAGGAGTCGATGAGGGAGTCGGGTGAGCCAGCTGCGACGGTACCGGTAGCCAGCAGTGTGGCTTGGGGTTCGAGCGACTTTGCTTCGTGAAGCGACTGAGGAAAATCGGATATTTTGAGGGTATCGTGAGCGTTGAGGTCGAAATTTGTCGGCAGAGGACTCGAGTCACCGAACGGATTGTTCTCGTCGTATTCCAAGAACTCGTTGAATTCGCCGGTGGGGGACATTCCCGGAACGGCTGGCATAGGGCTGGCACCGATAGCGGCACCAGCAGTCGTCATACCTTGGCCAGAAACAGTGATGATGGATGAAAGTTGTGTGCGTGTTGTGTGAGGCCCGACGACGACGGCGACGACGACGGAGATGGCGACGAAAGGGGAGGAGGTGAAAGCTCGGTCTGGGGATGTTGTGGGGAAAAGGGCGTCTCGTGGTAAAGTGGTGTAGACCAGGCGGTGGAGTGGGGGCCCACCGTCCAGTGTCCCTCTAATGCGAGTCCGACCCGGATTTGCGCTGGGCGAGGTGAGTTTGTGTTTGATTGTCGCACTGGGTTGGAGCCGGGATGTGCGGCGGATACACGGTGTAACCTGTTGCTGACGAGCGGCCGTCGGGGCAATTGAGTAATAATGGTCCTAAGAAATGGTCGGTGGTTGAGCGTTCGGAGGGGCCCTGTAAATCCTTCCTCTTGTTGTCTGTATCCGTTTCCTTCGTACGGTGCGGAGCTGTGGTACGTGGGTTGGGTGCTTGGGATTTCGTAGCAGATAGGGTGTCTATCCTAAGAGCACATTGCTGCGGCGCCGGGGAACGCAAATGTCTCTTGTTTTTCCCAGTCGTCTTTCCTTCTTCTCGCTGGGCTGTTCTGTCGGGGACTTTGGGGGGTGGCTGGAGTGAATGCAGTTAGGGTGTTTCTTGTTCTTTTTATCTTTTTTTTCCCCTCTTGCTATTCTCCAGCCTAAGGTTAGGTAGTAGGAGGGGAGGGGAGTGATAGGTAATATTACTAGGCAGGTAAGGTATCCGTAGTTCAGGTTTACGATGAGCAGAGGGAGAAAAAAGTACGATGGGCAAAAAAATTAAAATAAAATAAAAAAAGAAGGCGAGGGCGGAAATTGTATGCCCAGGAATCGGAGTCTGCACTGGTGCGTGTACGTGCGTGCGTGCGTGCGGGCAGCGCTCCAATCTCTAGAAAGTCCAAGTCGAGGCGGTAACAATGTCTCAAAAAGCGGCCAGTCCCTTGGAAAGCGGTGACTCGAAATTGGGCTGGGCAAAGAGAAAGAGACAGGGGGATGAATATGTGAAGGGCGATTCGAATCGGGGTGCAGATAAATGAAGCCAATCAATAAGTTCAACACCCGTCATTCCAGAGTGTAGCGTAGGTTGTGTGTGTCCAGAGTCCAGACCGATTGAGTTTGGTTGCAAATGCAGCGACCGATGTAAGAAGAACGAGAAGATGCAGAAGAAGGCAGAGAAAGAAGAACAACAATAACAAGCAGACAACGAGGACGAAAAGACGTGCGGATGGATGTCAGCGGTGACAACAGGCGGCTATCGACCGGTATTGTGTGACCTTGATGAACGAGCGCCGGCCTCCGGTGTCCGGAGACGATGGGATCTGGAGGCTACAACTCTCGCTGGATTACAGGCAACACAAGATGATACCGAACGGTTGCAATGCTCGGAGTAAGCACCGAGCCACTGGCATCAAGATACAACGGGAGGTAGATGTAGAGTAAACAGTAGGCACAGACGCAGAAACGACGAAAAAGGCCCAGTTGATGGTGAAATGGAACAAATTGTGGACCGGGTGAGTTTTGATCGTTTGGTGATGTGTACCTTGGGCGGGCGTATGTGTGTGTGTGTGTGTGTGTGTGTGTGTGTGTGTGTGTGTGTGTGTGTCCAAGTTGCAGCATGTAAGGCAAGGTGAAGGTAAGTCACCTATCCAAGGCAAGGTCTTAATTGATAGTAGAGGCGTGGCTGGATCATTTCACATACTTTGTATCCGAACAAGCTGAGGGAACACGGCACGTTTGAATACTTGGCTTCAATGGATGGCTTATCTGGCTTCGTTGGGTATTACAGTGTCCAGAAAAGCCTGACGCAAGCTGCGGCGAAAAGGTATAATAACTACGGTAGGTAAGGTAGACAGGTATTCAGGTATATCACTCAATCTTGGGACTGAACGAACGAGTACGATGAGGATCGGTCTGAAGCTTGTTCGCCATCAGGCCGTCCCATTCTCCGAGACGCGGTCGCTTGCTGTGCGTGGGTGGAAGCCAGAGCCAATCTGAGGGGTCAGTTGAGAAATGGTGGTGTGTACCTTGTCATTCTCTTTCTCATCTTACAGCGTCCTCCTCGATCACACCTTGCCTCAGATAATGTGGCAGTGGCACCATGGTTTCCTCTGTGAATTCGCATGTACAGGTGGAAGTGGCAGGGACGGACGAAGAGATGGCGCTGCAACTTGAGGGTTGGAAGGGACGGCGGGTAGATACCTATCCATCTGCCAATGGGAATGAGAGCGAGATAACCAGATTGGCTGTGTGACTTTGCTGAGAATGCCATGTATCCGTATGGATGGATCCTAGAGAGTTGGTCTTGCGTCTTGCGTCTTGCGTCCTGCACTTGCAGTTGGCGTTGTGGCGTTGGATGCCCAGTGCTCAAGCTTCCCGTTTGGGCCTGATACTCGTAGAGGTAGCCGCACCTTGAGCACGCTAGATTCATCGAACTTTCCTGCCGGTCTGCGTGTATCTGCGTGTACAGAGTAATGTGTGTCTGCTTGGAGTTGGAGCTGTTGCTGAAGCTGGAACTGACTGACGCCCTGTGCTCTTCCCGCGCTTGCGGCCGTGGCTCTTTCTTTCACACACACACACACACACTCTCTCTCTCTCTCTCTCCCTCTCTCTCGTCTGTGTGCCCTCTGCATTGGAGATCAGTGGCCGGTCTGGTCTGTGATGTATCTCACCATCCGTATCTGTAAGGTATCCATCATCGTGCGTGTGCGCCTGTGCCTGGGTGCCTGCCTGCCCTGACCGGCAACAACACAGCATAAAAAAGACAGACTCACGGATCGCCTCTTTTCCCTTTCGGCTTGCGTCTGCATCGGCAAAGATCCATTATTTACAACGGAAGTTGGTGGAGGAACATGGTCGATTAACACTGAAGCTTGCAGTGAATTGCAAAAGGTTGGTTGATGAGGCGTGGAAATTGGTGAGGTGGGATCCGCAAAAAAACTCATTGACGGGAAAGGATAGAGGTACGTATCATATCGAGGTGCAGGTACCTAAGGTAAGGTAATTGGCCGTGTGTCTGCGGCGGAAGACTTACGCGAAGGCACCGTGTGGCACCTGCGCCACGCGCCGCCAAGACAGATGGCAGCCCTCTCCGAGAGCTCCACTCGGTGCCCTGAGTCCACTCAAGCCACCCTCTTCCTGGCCAATCACACACTTGTCTGGCGATGGTCCCTTGCTAGAGTCTGAGCACAGTGTGAGAACTTTCCATTCTTCCTGTCGACTCTCGAGACAGTCTCACTCACATCCCACGTCGCCCGATCCCTTCCATGACCGTACCGACCGACCTCTTCCTACCACGCACCCACGGTACCACCCACCATCCATCCACCTACAGTGAAAAGACTGAGGTGACTGATAAGCAAACCAGGGCATCAGCACATCAAACCCCCAACGCCAGCGCAGGGCGACGCAGCTAAAACACGCGCGTCCCGATGGCGGATGGCCCCTCCGGTACGCAGGACGGATACCTGGTAAATTATGAAATTGCTCTGGGAGATGAGCCTTTGGGTCATCCTCTTCCATTGCCCGCTTACCTAACTGACCTTATTGTGTTTCTCCATAGGTTCCAGTGTCTGCTTACGGTCCGCAGATAGGGGAGTCCGTACCAACTGCAAAAGACACGAACATCACCCTGTGCAGCAATTCTGCCTGCCCGCCTCGAAACCCACTTCAGCCCAGATAGAACCACATTCCTCGCTCCCCCCATTCCACTGTTTCTCGTACCGGTAGGGCCCAAGGCCCAAAAGGCCCCTTCCAGGTTGTTTCCAGGTTCTTGAACCCTCGACTCGATACCCAGGGCCACTCCCGGTGGCTCACGCTCTGGTCCCTGACCCGTCGCCAGGATGCCAATGCACCGGCGATGCAGAGTTGCAATCCCGCCGCCTTCCTTGCCTCGCCAGGCCTACCTCACTCGTCACTTTCACAACTCCGGCCTTGCCCCTCATCAACAATTAACGTCAGTCTTCATCATCTTGCAGGCAACAAGTAACAGATTGCTTGATGCCGAAGCAATCTGGCCTCTTCCAAGTCCGGATACGACTTGGCTCTTGTTCGGACTTTTGCTACGTGTCTCTTGTCTCTTTGCCTAGAGCCTTCTCCACAAGTCAATACGCTTTTGGCCAAGTCTCGTGATACCCAGCAAACGGCAACTCCTGGGAGACTCCTTGAGTCTTTGCTCACTTTCTCATAATATGAACTACCAAGACTGGTCAGTGGCCACTGCGGTCAACTTACCGTGTGCCCGCACATTGGACGAAAACAGTAACCTGATCCTCTCCTTTGGACCCAAACTACGCCGACCCAGACCGGTGCCGCGGGAAACTAACTCTCTCACGGACTCTTGTCATCGACTTTAATACGCAGCTCGGCTCGTCTCAGGACGTCAGCGCTTACCTGTTGCCACAGCTAATGCAGGCAATTGCCCACGTATCCATACCTACCTTTCCAACAATTGGACTGCGTAGGTTTGTGTCCTGGGTTCCTTCCCGGTCAACCTAAAGTATCGACACCAAGACCGAGCGGATCTTACTTGGTCTCCTTATGCATCGATACTACTACGCACCTCCCTCAACAAGAGACGGTACGGCTTTGCGGCGTGTCCTGAACCTAACCTTGGCCGGACCATTCCATCCAAGGAGAGACTACTCGGCTTTCCAGAAACCGTCCGGTTTCTATTCTCCCGTATAGAGACAATCTCTTTCTCTTACCTTGTCGCGGGGAAATAGCCTGGCTTCATTGGCCCATCTTTGGATTTACTCGTTGAAATGCAAGACAGCGATTGTCTGCGACATCAGTAACTTAGTCATTGCAACGAACTGCTACTACCCTACGACGCAAGCCAATTCTAGCCACTGTTGGCCGCCTAGAGTAATCCCGACGCAAGAACCGGCGGAAGACGGGTTGGCACGATATCAGCCTGCCGCATTACCTGCGTCCGATGTCAATCATCGGCCCTTTGATAGGCTTCCGCTTCCCTCAACGTCAGGAACGGAACCCGGTGGTGAATGCAACCCTTCCCGCAGATGGTCGTTCACACCTGCACCAAGTACCAACAATACCACCGGTCGCTACCACCCATCCTTTTCTCCTAGCGAAGGAATCTGGCAATTCAACCAGTCGATCAATTCCTGTCTGTCCGAGTCTGGGCCTCAGCCCAGCTCAAGCCTCGCCGTCTGAGCGGGATTAAACAAACCAACGCTGCCAGCCTCCTAGGAATCTAGGAAATCGAGATGCGACGCTTGACTCTTCAGCCCCGACGTCGCTCCGAATCTCGCACAAACGCCTCAATACCAATACCACCACCAGCTCATGTTCAGTTAGCCTTTTGCAATCGTGTGTCAACCATTCTTGGTCCGGTCGGGCTGCACAAAGCAGGAACTGACTGGACTTCTCCCAAGTCGGGGAGGGATTGCACAAACTCATTATGTAAAAACACTTGCACTTGGCCTACTGCGTAAATTGTGCATAAAGCTGGGTTTTCCATCTGACCTTGATCGAAACGTACTAGACATCACCTGGACTGCAGCCAGCGGCGGTAACCTAGTCTCCCCCAGCCTAGAGTCCAGCTACCAGCCCAAGAGCACCAATCAGCGATTGGCCTTACACCACCAGAACTTTGGTCTACGTGCGGGCAACAACTATTTGGTACCTAGGCGACTCCGATGTGTGTGTAGGAAGTAGTGGACGACTCGCAAATGGTGGACCGAGTAAATACCGAGTGGCAATTATCCAGTTCGATTAGACGTCTACCTAATTACGGGTATTCTAGCCGGTTCTATCCCAAGTCTATCTTGTCTACAGTAGATTCTCTACGAACAAAGATTGGACAAGTGTCATTTGAAATGCCAACTTACTACGACTCCGTCTCGAGGCCATATACTTTCCTTTTGATTTCCGGAGAGTAAACCCCGAGAGACATGGGAATTGACAACGGCTGGTATCCGGAATTCTGTCCGCCGCGTGGGCTGATTGTCTCACGTCTCAGTCAAACGAAGGCTTTTGCGGTTGCAGAAAATAGTTCTGCATCACACGAAATCTTCTGCTTCGCGGGGGTTTTTTTCCCTGCAAATCACCGAGGTGCTGCGGGTGTCTCGTCCGGAAACCGGATTGTACGACTTGGGAGCTCTGGTGGCGGTGGCGTCTGCACCTGTTGTTGCTCATCAGCCACCTTTGTCTGAGAACCATTAACGCGTTCTCCGTCTTCGGGGCCTGAACGTTTCTGATGCTCCGGTTGACCGGCCCGCTTCGTCCAAGGAGGGGCCGCGCCCGGCTCGTCCGCGCCCGCAGGCGGCGGAGGGATGACTGAGCCGCCGATCCTGTAGATGGGCCGATTGGCGCCTTCCACGTCAGATTGGGGTTGAGATTGTGACTGCGACTGTGCCCGCGACTCGATGTTGTAGCCTGAGCCTGTCGCTGCTTCGATACCTTGAGATCGTGAACGGCCAAAGGGATACAGTACTCTGCCACGAATGCGGAAGGAGGGCCGAGTGGCCTCAGGACCACCCTCGCCGTCGCCTTCGCCGCTCATGAACGAGATGCCTCTAGAGAGCGAGCGTGGAGCGTAGTAGCCGAGCTTGCCGAGCGGGATGCTCAGCCCGTGGACCACCTATTTGAAACTTCATTTTAGTTCTCGACGGTTTCGGGAGTGCGTCACTTACTATGCTACAGACTGCGAGGAACCAGACGACGACTCTGACTATTTCGGGCAGGTGAGCAACATCCGAACGAGGTTCATCGCCCTCGTTCAGCGTGTGCAGGAATTCGACTGTGACGTAGAGATAAAAGATAGCCGACACTCCAATGGGACCGAAGAAGCCCACAAAGATGGCTTGCTTCACCTGCTCAATCTGGGGTATGAAGCGGTGGATAGCGAAGACGAAGGGTAGACGCCGCAGAATCAGCACCAAGATGCCAAGAGGGATGAGACGGTAGATGGGGATCACGTCGTTGTGGAGGAACTCGTTCCACGGGATGACGGCGCCGTACCACATGAAGATGGTGACGTTCAAGAGCATATCAATCGTTGGCTGGAAGGAGTCGTCTTCGGTTTCCAAGCGGAACCAATCGTCCCACGTAAAAGCATTTCCAGCGATGAAGCACGCGAGCACGTCATCGCTGCCAATCATGCCGCATGTCCCGACGATGAAGAGCGCCAGGGAGATTGCAAAGACCAGGAAGCTCTCCCTGTCAACGTATTTGCGCTTCTCGGCCCATCTAAGCAGCGTCTTTGCGAGCCATCCTACGACGGCGCCGTAGATGACGCTGAGAATGATGGTATAACCCCAGGTTTCACCGAACCACAATCCCATCGCCAAGCCGGCGCCTCCAGAGACCTGCTTGCCGCCGTCGCCAATGTACTTGATCAGGTACAAGGCGAAGAACAGGAACGGATATCCCAGCCCATCATTGGCGCCGGACTCGCTGATGATGAGATTCTGCAGCTCCGTGGGGATGTTGTGGTCCGCGAAGCGGCCCTTGACGATGACGTTGGACAGCACCGGATCCGTGGGCGTCACGCAGGCGCCGACGGCGAGGGCGTGCAAAAAGGGGATATGCGGCACCATGGCCCAGACGAGAAGGGACGTTGCGAGCCACATGCAGGTCATGACGGGCCCGACGAGCAGGGCCATGGGCTTCCACTGCGTGCGGAGGTACCTGCTGGGCAACTGAACGCCGGCGAGGACGAGCTGAACGCCGAGGACGAGGCGGGAGAAGGCGAGGGTGACGCTCTCAACGTCCTCTTCCGTGCCAGCATACTCCAGCGGTCTGATGAGGTTTGCTGCGGGAGGGGAGAAAGCCACGCCCGCGAGGAGGGATATCACTGGGGTTTTGGATTAGCCGCTTGACTACAAGACGAATCGAGAAAGTATTGTCCTGCATGGCGATCTAGGCGCATCAACTGCGACCCTTGACACCATATTCGCCATTGGGGGTCCATTGGGCTCTGAAACGTGTAAACAGCGGAGGGACTTACGGGCTTCGGAGAGGTAATAGTTCTCCTTGCATAGGTACGAGACCAGGCCGAATAGCGAAATCCAGCCACCCAGCAGGCCCACGAGGATATTGAAGTTTGTGAGCGCGAGGGTAGGCATCTTGGGCGGCCTTTCTCGACGTGAGATTTGCTTCAAAGGAGTCGAGAATCACTTAAGCTTTCGCCAAGGTGTCTAGTCGGGCCTGAAAGCTTGGAAGCCTCCACACTTTGTGCGAGTTTTCGTTGTAGTCTCCGTGATCTCGTGGGCGAGATGATCCAATGAATGTGCACGAAAATGCGACAAGGTCCCAGTTCGCCAAGTTTTTGAACCACGAGGGTGGCAGTTTATCTCTTGGCAACACAAAACGACCGGTAAGGCGATAGAGAGGTAGAGAGACCGCGCGCGCCCTACGGAAAGGGAGGTTCTTCTGATTTCGGATCCGAAGGAAACCGCAAGCAATTGGTTTTCGTGCGGTACGATCCGAGGTACAGTCTATTCTAGCCAACAGCAGAGATACGATTGTTATCGAATTGTGGGGTTCGAAGCGTCGTGAACGAAGAGGAGAGTTGCGGCGCTTGCGTGGCTGACTGTCATTGGGAGGCTATTGGGGATCAACGACTTTCGTGGCGATGATGTTTGCTTCTTTGGATCTGTTTTTCTGCGACCAAGAGATGGCGGTCTGCACGTCTTTGCGGTTCTGGAGGGGTTTCGAACTTTCGTCTGCCCAATGGGTTCCGAATGCGGTGCGCAGATGCGGGCGGCCGAGTGAATACCTAGGTACGCCAAGTGGGAAGTCCTGGGTGAGGGTGGTCGCGATGTAAGGGGGAAGAGAGGTTGAAGGGGAAAAAGGAAAGTGGCGGCTTGGCGAGGATCTGATGCAAGTGCTGTGGTTTTTGGATATCGGGGCGAACGCCGCCGAGCTGTAGCCCGGCCCTTGTTTTTTCATCATCACCGCAGGTTTGGCAAAGCGGGAAGGAGGGGTGTCCCTGGTCCCATGCTAGGATACCAAGGGTATTTAGTTGACCCGATGCGGAATAGCTCCTGGAAAGTAAGTATTAGAGTGAGAATATGGACGCTCAGGTTTGCGATGATGTGGGGTAGGCAGAGTTCAGCTGTTTAGCACAGAACGGAGAGGCTATCCTATGCGCTGGACATCTCCTACCTTACTGAATAGTGGCGAACTATCTTAGGAAATGCAAGCTCAGACGGCGTTTTCTTGTGTGCTTCTGAATGCCAAAGCCGGACCTCCTGCGATGCCAACAGAGCAAGGTTTCCAAGTAAGCTTTTGCAAAAGGTCTCTTTAGATCTCTCTAGTGGGAATAGGTTTCAACGGAAAGCAATGCCTGCCTGTCTGGCCCTGTAAGACTGTATCATGGAACAAATGCAACAAGGTGACAAGTAAACTAAATAGATGAATGCTCGGGACTTCAAGCCGGCGCCAAGAATCTAAATCCCTTCTGCGCCTTCCCTTCCCTTCCCTTTCCTCTAGGCTCTCAGGCGCTCCTCCCTCTCTCGCTCTCTCTTGTCTCTAAAACCACATTCTCCAGCCTCGAGACCCTCGCCAGCAATCCACAAACGCCCACAGGAACAACAACGTGGGGGCGTACAGAGGGATAGAGACACGATAAAGTAACGAAAAGAAAACCCTAATCACATTAGCTCCAGGCAGACAAAACTACACACACGCGCGCATATAGAGCCACGAGTTTAGTACGGTCTCACAAACCGCCACCGTACCTGTGAGACAAAAGTGTTTTTTTTTTCCAAGACCATCACATTCGCGCCGGCCTGCCGCGGAAGCAACGGGAGAGGGAGAGAAAGAAAGGGTTCCCAAGGATAAATATATTCTGCCCTTGGAGAAGGCAGAAAATCCTACGTAATGAGACAGAGATACTATTCGTAGGCAATTCCACGTCGGTGGCACGTTTAAGTGTTTAAGAGAAGGAGGGAAATTTGTCGAGAGGGGATGAAATTCAGCCGAGGATGGATATCTGCCGTATTTGAGACATGGAAACTACTTAAACAACAAGCAGAAACGGGAAACAGAACAGTTGAACAAACCACCTATTAAACACTTGACCCCGTCATTGGACTTCCGCCACGATTTCAACCATTCGTCAATGGTCTTCTTGCATGCATAGTACACCTCTGGGTCTGTACCGTCAATATCTCCTTGTGGGCCACAACAGTACCAGATATACGATCCGCCATTGGAAAAATAATTACAGGATCAAAGGCCGAGAAAAGTCTTAAGGAATGGGGATATTGACACAAGCAGAAACGGCACCATGCAATCAACCGTAGTCACCTGCGCCCGAAACGCCCCTTTGACATGACCGTCACATCAAGTCAACGACCCTTCACGAGTATGACGATATTCAACATCGCCCGTATCGCTGCTGCAGACCGGTAGTGCGAGGGGTTGGAGCTTTGTGCGGGTATCGTCAATTAGCGCGCAAGGTCGCCCTCTGTCGACCCCTCCGACTCACTGCCGCATCGTATCCTATGCTATCGCCACCTGACCGGCATAAAGAACACGACTTATACGTGCTTTGTAGGATCGTAATCATCCTCATCCAACTTTGATTCAGAGCCCATCATTGCCGCCTCACTTGAGCTTTCTTCTTGACTTCGTTGGCAAAGTCTTTCTTGCACCGGCCGTGGCGAGCTCATCCGCAGCCCTGTTGCCTACAGATGTCGGGTCTTGCTCTGTGGTGTGAGCCTTCACCCAGTTGATGCTCGTTATTGTCCCTGCAGCCTCTCGCCTGTTGAGATGATCCATTATTGCCTTGATCAAGTCCTGATTTTTTACGGGTCCTTTCCAAGTCTTCCAGCCGTTGGCCATCCACTTTTTGCAGTCGCGAGTGACGCAGTTCTTTGCGTATTCGCTATCCGTCCAGATCTGGACATCTTGCGTGACTGAGGTGTACTCGAGTGCTCGAAGGACGGCGGTAAGTTCTGCTCGCTGATTCGTTTGTGGTTCACCTTCGAGGGGTTCAGATATGTTCCTAAATGCGTCTGAGTCAGTCCGCTGCGTCTGGCCTGTTGAGGAAAAGATATAGGGGAACTACATCACCACTGCTTCTTCTGAAAACGAATCATGACGGAAGAAGGTAAGATGTAGTTGAGGGCCAGCTTACCTTGCATCGTTGGGTCCGAAGTAGACGCCCACGCCGCCCCTGGCAGAAGGAGTGCCGTTGCCCGCCGTAGCTCCGTCGATATAGATTTGCGGCAAGTTCAGTACCTCCGAATTTACGGGATCGTCTTTAGGTTCCTTCTCCATCTCTTCCTCCACCCCATCATGGTTCTCCTTCTTCACCTTCGTGGCCTTCGTTGCGGAGCTGGTGGCTGGCTTCCTCGGCAGAACCTTGATACCCGCGTTCAAGGCGCCTGCCTCAGCGCCAGCAATCGTTTCCTCATTGCCCCATTCCCTAATGAACTCTAACGCGCCGGTGTATGTGTCGAACCTCTTATACTTGGGCCCTTTGGCATCCTTGATTGCCAAGGAAACCGTATCCCAGTCGTTGACGAAGATGCCCGTGAAATGACCACGCGCGACAGCATAGTATCTTGGAGGGGAGGGCTTTTCCCCGGCTGGCGCGGGTACGAACTTGCCTTCCACAAAAGCCTGGGCCTCTTCGCGTGTGAAAAAAGACTTGTCTAGAAAGCAGCCTCTGTCAGTCGAACCGGTCAAGAAGGCCTGCAACTTCCACAGTGGTATGGTCAGGTATCTTCACATACATATTGCTCCTTTTTGATGAGCAGTCTGTTTCTGGCATTCAAGCCATGTCAAATATACACCTGGCCGGAGACCGACGCGCACAGCGTAGTATCTCTGTAGGTCCTTGTCCGCCTTGCGCTTTTTCGATTTGTCCGCAGGCATGTCGACGCGCTCGTTCAGGAAGCGTGCGAGAAGCTGTAGGGTGTTACGGTCGTCGTTGCGGATGTCGTTCGGTCTGCCTCGCCAGATTGTGACGCTTCGTCGTCTTAAAAATACCGATGGGAGAAGGCGACAGCTTACAGAAGCTCGGAGATGAAGTTCGTCCACAGCTTTTGTCCAAAAAGCTTGAGGTCGCGAGCGCATGTGTCGAGGCCGTTACAAAGCTACCTGGTCGGTGTCGCGTGGGTCAAGAGAGTCAAAGGCAACTCATGCTGGTGGTTAGAAGGGTCTCGAAAGCTGCAGTTCCAGGGCCGTTTCCTCAGCGGGTGCTTTTGTTCGTGGGCGCATGCCGAAACATGTAACGGGGAAAAAGAGTGAAGATTGCGGCATGGGCTGGTGACGAGGGGACCACTTCAATGGATGGGAGTATGGATCAGTTCTCCCAGTGCGGGCCTTCCTCGCCAGCATTAGGCGTGCCGATAAGATAAGGCGCATCCCTTCCCCGCAGGAAGCACGACCGCTGTAAAGCTTGCCGGCCCTTAGCGCAGTCTGGCTCTGTACCTAAGTACACACCGTGCTATTACCTACCTTATTCATCGGGCACTATTTACCTGTATTACTTTTGTAGGGTAAGTTAGTGTAGGCTGCAGCCAATATCACTTGGATGCTGATCTTATATCGGCTGGAACTCTTTCCTAGCGGTTGTTCCTATGTGACTCTGGTATTTTGGAGAGTAAAGGGGTACATCTTCCCTCAACAATTGCTCGTCACAGCAAGTATGGACGACGAAGACTTGATGTAAGTTGCTTGGGCATTGCTAAAGTTGCCGTCTGCTACAAATGAGACAGCATGGGTATAATTCCTGACCAGCCTACCGTCGCACGTCTCTCGAATCTCCTTCATCCCGTCAGACATCCCACGGGAGCTGAAGGGACTATCTAAACCCTCTGCTAGCCCTTTCAACCAGTCTCTCAACCAAATACAACAGGTAAAATGTAAAGCGCCAAAGCCGCCAACGAGCTGGCTCAGAGCTTGGGGTACAGGGTTTATCGATACTAATGCATCGAGACTACCGTCAACCATTACAATCGTTGGCATCCCGGCACACAAAGACTGTTCTGGCCTAGGCCGGTTTCCCGACCATAAGCACCAAGGTATCGTCGTAAAGTCCCATGGGGACTAAGCATGGACTCTGTGATCAACCGGCGGCAAAGGTCCCACGCAGTCGCTCGATTCCCACTCCCACGCCAACAAGCTCCAGTTCAGCTCACGTCTCCAGAAGAGGCCGAGACCCTCGCCTCTACCGCAGTTCTCCAGCTCGGGATGGCCATGTCCTCGATCTTCCGAGCACATGCCCCCAGTAAGTGGCATGCGTTGAGCGAAGACGACCTTGCCCATCCGCGAGTGAAGGATAGCCATCGAGCATTGGACGCAAGGCTCGTGAGTCAAGTACATCTCCATGCCGTGGCACAGGTAGCCGTCCGCATTGGGATGCTCGTCTTCATGAACCGTGAGCTCGTCTTCCAAGAGCGGAAGATCTTGAAAAGTGTCGTATTCAAGGATAGGCGGCACGTTGGAGCGGCCGGCTGCACGTCTCTCGTGTCGCACAAGCTTCTGCGCCACCATGCTGATAGCTCTGAGCACGCAGTGACCCATGGGGTTGCCGGTACCGCTTCTATTGGGCTCCTGGTGCCAACGAGCATCTCCGGCAACCGCTACCAGGTGGGATTTTCCCCCTTCGCGCTGGACGATGACGGCACCCATGGGTTCGCCGATACCCGCCTTCTTGGCCTGGAAGGCGACGCGATGGGCCAAGGTCATCCACAGAGATGTCTCATCCTTGATGGTTTCCGTTGATCGTCCCACCATGCTAGGGTGCGGTCCAAGAGGGTTGTTCTTTCTATACACCGTAGGCCAAAACTGCGAGGTCCACATAGCTGCCTGCACCTGAGAAGTAGGTGGTACCATGGGGATCGGAATCTTGGTGAGGAAGACGTTCTCATCCATTCCCTCGATGGCTCCCAGCTTTGCGACCAAGCCGTGCTTATCGAAGTCTTTCTCTTCACCAAGCATGATGTAGATCCAGGTGGATTTACCCGTGTGGACTTGGCGGCCTTCGGGGGAGTCGTTCATGAACTGTGTTTTGAGATGAGCCGGGATATCCGCGGGCTTCGCACATCTTCGCAAGTGAGGCAAGTTGTTAGCCACGCCTTCAGGGAGCATCGAGCGGATCAGACTGCAGTCAGGTTAGTATGTGATAGAAACGTGATGACTGCTACTCACTTGACGACGTTGTTAGTAGACGTAGATGGAGCCCTCGTGATCAAAGCCTGGACAATGGTGTGGTCTTGTCGGATTTCCAGAGTCGTCTTTAGAGGAATAAGCACTCCTCGGCCGAGTTGTTGTGGAAGCAGGTGGTCGATGAGAGCATGGGGCTGGATGACATCAGGGCCAGTGTGCTCGATCTTTTCCTCAGATTGATCGTCAGGCCTATCAGAGGCCATGGCCGGGAGCGAGGCGCGTTCGACAGCGAGCATCTTGACTGGTGGTCTCCAGACTGGCTTCCAAGATTTGGGCAGAAAAAGCAGGAACTGGTGTGTCCGTCAGTATAGCTGGGGGTGATTTAGGGTGCGTCACGCCGGAGCCGTAACTTACTTCAACAAGAAAGTCACGGTATCTCGATTTTAGTCTCCCGAGGCACAAGACGACCGACAGAGAGGGCTACGGAGATAGCTGCTGCGCACCGCTGTGGCGTACCGTGAGCGAAGTGTGGATTTCGGCAGACAACAGAACGACTGGAGTAGCTCCACGACGGCTTCTTGAGGAGGACTGTTGTGACTTAGGTGAATAGTCCAGTCAGAAGCCTGTTATCAAAGGTGTGCTCCTAGAATCCGATGCGGCTCGTTTTGGTTTGACGTTGTCGAACAGGGCCAAGATCGGATGTAGCGGAGGGTTTGCTGAGCAGTCAATAAATCAGAACGATGACTAGAGAAGATTTCCAGTCAAGGCCTTGTGCGACGGTTGATGTAGGTGGCACACCTAGCTCTTTCCTGAGAAAGAGAGATGTGGTGTCGTGTCCTCGGTGTCCAACTGTTCTACACCCTTACCTCGGTGCTGTAAGGGCTGGACAATTTTGTAAGGGAACGACAAGCCAACACAATTACCGCAGTTGGTAAGGTCTGGATGAAGGAGGCTGCGAAGTTGCTTTTGGCCCAAAGTGAGGTGCACTCAGGTAGTACCTTGGAGCAGAACCAAATGGGAGGAAGTCACGAGAAGCAACTTGACGAAGGGGCCCACACTGCCTCAGGAAACTACTTTGATAGGCAGAGCCAGGACAAATAAAATCGTAGCCCGGGACGCTGGACTGGAAGGCGCGAAGAAGGAAGGCACCCGACCTGCACCTTCAGCTCCTCTTCTGCTCTTGCCTCAGATCAGATCCTGTTCACTTCCAGCCCTGTGCTGCTTTGTTTATCTCCTTCCCTCCTTTGACTCTTTTGCAGCCTTGGAGACGAACTTGGTTCTCGGTCACTTCTCTAGAAAGATTGTGCGGTACACAAAGCCTTCCGTCGATTCAGGAAGCAAGTTTGAGGTGCAAAGATATTTGCCAAGATAAGTGGAAATGCGCCAGGTATTATTGGAACCGATGATTGGCGGGTCCAGGTAGTCTGATATATCGTTCGGAGAGTCTCAGCGTTTGTATCAGTCTCAGCCTCAGCTTTCCATCTATAGATGGCTTCAAGACGGATGTAACCCAAAGACTTGAAGATCAATGTTGTTCTGCCGGGTCCTGAAACGGCAGGGCCCAGATTTGGGACCAAACAAAGAAACAAGGACAGAGGAAATAGACCCTATCGGATCAGATGGCGTGGTTGTTTATTGGATAATGTAGCTGATGGCCATGAGGATCCGGATCTGGAAGTGGTTTGAACTGCGGTATTGAACGGACGGGACCGAAGTGAAGCATCAGAAAATTTGGCGATCTATTTGACAGACTGGATCCCAGTAGGCCAAGCGTTGTCAGGCACAGAGGGCCTCTGGTCGAATCGGATTGCAGAGCAGAGCCGCTAGCGGGGTCTAGGGTCTTATCGATAAAGTGACAGGCCCCTCACGCATCTCGGTGTAGCCAGTCCGGTCCTGGCAGTGACCACCCCGTCGACGGGACGTTTGAATTGTGCCTGCGACGTCTAAGGTATTTCCAGATTCGTGACATGGGGGTAGAAGTGGGGCGACTGTACGAATACCTAGGTAGGAATTGCCTAGAGGATTTCTTTGGCAATCACCACCGGCCATTTCTTTCCCGTTCTTGTCCATGGTGTTTGTGCAACTTTCCGTACTTTCCGTAAGGGATCACTTGTGTGTTTCCCAAAAGTGGCCAAGAGTCGAGAGAGAAGATTGGGAAGGCGCAAAAAACATGGAAGGGAGGTCACATCTGTGATCATAGGGAGGAGGGCATCGACTGAAGCAAAATACCTAGCGACTGTAGAAGGAGCTGGAGAAGACTGGAGAAGACATAAAACGCGAGAGGCAAGAGGCAACTAGGGAGAAGCACTTCCACCACTGAAACGAGCCGAACGTCTCTTACAGGCCCATCAGGATGAACATCGCGAAGCAAGACAAAACCTCACCTTACCTCACCTCACCAAAAATACTCACCGGTCGGGCTTCACCTCAGTTAGATGATGGTTTCTTAGAGGTAGGTCCACACATTCCACAGCCGCGGTTGAGCTCATTCAGCAGAGATAAGCTTCTAATTCTGTAGTTTCGGTTGGTTCTTTGCGCAGTGTACTGTCTCACAACGCCCGAGCAAGCCAAGAGCGGCAGACAAGTCAACTTTTCGGCTCTCATCCTCCGTGCCAACATGCCTCCATCATGGATCGTCTCATTGGTTATCAACCGTTGGTGCGTGGCAGAACAAGTCTCACAAGCCAGACTGTTCTCTCTCTCAAGGGTGCCGCATCTGAATTAGAAATGCAATCGTCCAACGGTAAATCGACCCCACGTGTGAAGGCTCCATCGCCTATTTCTCAATCTCCGATGACGGCACGCCCTACTGGCCGGCGGGGGCTGGCGGGGGCTGGCCAGGACTGCAAGTCATACCCCCATCGGTAAACGCTCTTGCAAGCTCCAGTCGCAACGCGTGTCGGCCGTATCTCCTCTCCGCACTACGCTCTAGATGACGCTTTCGCCATCGCAGATCCAGCGAGCGTTCCTTGACATCTTGGCGAGACTGCCTCTGCTACGGAGCAGTTGGTCCCTTGATTGTCGTCGAGGTGGCCATGACAGTGGGCTTCTAGAAAGCGAACGGCAAACCCTGCCGCGAACCCCTCACGATACATGCGGGGTCAGCAGCAGAAGCGGAATAGACTACCAGAGACTAATAACGCCTAAACTTCGACAGCTGGTGGAGACCACAGATTGGCGGCGCGGCGGCAATATCAGAAATGAGGAGTGCAACTGAGGGCCGCGCCGCCGGCGTCTGGAGCACCTGGAATTGCCAACCCTCCCCTCCACACTTTGGATTTGGGAGCTGAGAAGTCACAATTGTCTTTGCTGCAGTCCGCGTCCTGCAGTGTAACAGGAGAACCTTCTGCAAAAGAGTCTTGGAGTGGGGGGTCCCACGCCAAATTCCTCCTTCGTCATCCATGCCGAGTCCCTGTTTCTGGCGCGAAGCATGAAAGCAACCTCGTAACTGGACTGTTGAAGATGATTGGCCGCTGCGGTTGAGTTACCAGTGGCCATTGGCATGGCGGGATGACTGGGCGTTGGGTGCAAGCCTCACTCGCCCCGAGAACGATGACATGGCGTCCTCAGACTTTGGCGGGACATACGGATCACTGTCCCACCATTCTACAGGCTGTACTGTGTATGTACACAAACGGGCTCACCATGGGCATTTTCGTTTCACAGGGGCGAGATTTCAATGTGCCAGAAGGGCATTTGGGTGACATCACCGCCCAGACCTAAGTAAAGATGAGCATCATGAGCCATCTTTCTTTGCAGACATGTCTAGGAAGATCAGGCTGGCTGGTGCTTAGCAGTGACAGAATGCTTGCTGTCAAGACTCAAAAGCAGCCCTGGCATCCCCACAACACGTCGAACAACTGGTAGGGGTTCCGTGAGGGGTTCACAGGTTCGCCAGGAGCGCAGCGGATCCTTGGTGGGAGCGGATCTCCGGGGGCGTGGAGGTTCCTTTTCCAGCCTCCGGACTTCGGGGTGATTCCGACAGAGGGTCAGCCCAAGCGCTAGGTGAGTTGTTGCAACGCCAACAGAATATGTAATGACCATCACCGGCACGCGACCCTGGAGATGGTGTGTGTCAAATCATGCTGTGCACCCTTCTCGGAGACGCCTTGTTGAGCGCCGCCGGAGACTTGTTGCAGCACATCGGAGGGCCACCTATTGCTACACCCACAACTGCATAGTACCTACTCATTCAGCAAGAAAAAAAAATTAGAGAGAGGTAACCTCGAAAAGGGGCCATCAAGGCTAGGTACGTGGCCACCTAGAAATGGAACAGGGCGATCAACCGCAAGGATAAGCTTTGAGCAAGTCTCGAAGGCGTGTTGGCGAGGGCTGATGTGAGTGGTTCATTCAAATTGGCTTGGCTGAGAGCTGGAATGCTTGAGAAAGATGGGATGGTTGTAGAATAGCTCTGGTGCCGGCATAAGTTGATTCAGGAGGGGACTTGGCGGCCGATTACTCTGGACATCTGAGTCGTGAAACATTTGGGTGGGAAGGGAAGTGGAAAGGGCAGAACGGATCGACGGGGTATCTCCGACAAGCCCGGTGAGCGAAGCACAGCAAAGCAAAGCTAGGCCAGGCAGGCCACACCTCGTCCAGCACTCAAGCGCTGAGCGAGCAGACGGTGAGAAAGAAGCAGGAAAGAACTGACGTGGGATTTGGCCGTCCGAGTTACATTGTCCGTATTACGGCCACTTTTTGTTTTCTCTCCTCGACTTCCCATGTCTGCAGGAATAATATTACCCACGGAGCTAAGGTGAGGTATAAGTCACGGGCAACACGGTGCACGCACACAGACCGGGCGGACCAGACGAGCATGGAGGATGGAGCACGGCGACACGGAGGACAGGACCCAGGCATACGGGGAGACGCAACGGATGGGGCCGGCCGTCATGACGGTGTTTGGGGATTTAATTTTGGACGACGGAGGGTTTGTGTTTGTTGAGGTTCTTTTTTTGCTGTACTGTAACGGGCTGTGCTGGTGCACAGAGACGTAGGTGGCTCTCTCTCAACCCGCTGTGCTGGACAAATCCCCAATCCATGGTTCATGGCCAGACGGCAATTGTCAGGACTCCTATCCAGGTCCAGACCCAGATTGAGCTTCAGCTTGAGCTTGAGCTTGTACGAATAGTAGCTTTGGATAGGCATGAATGGCTTTAAACTTGGCGGACGGAAGATTGACGTGGGACATGGACATGGGACAAGACCGAGGGCGTGGGCGGATGGGCTTCTGGTATTGGACCAAGACAACAATAGGTAGCGTACCCGGGCAGCCAGCTCCCGAGTCCAGAGTAAGGTAAAGGCCAAACAGACCGTGGACACGTACGTCCAGCAATAGAAAAGGCAGAATAACGAGCTTTGTTTACTGGCGCTGCACTGTTGACAACGTAAGCACTCGCCTCGGGCCTGACGCCTAGAAACTCGAACCGTTTACCTCAGGCCAGAAATAGGTGTAATAGGGGGGTTCTGGAAATGATGCCCAGCCCTTTTTCTTCCTCAGGTTTCTCTGTAACTCTCGAGTCGCCCGGGGCCTGTAAGCTCGGCCGTACTGTACTTTCCCCATCAGAAAATCAACAACAGAAATCATGCGTTGAATGGATAAGTATCCGTAAAGGGACCGACATATTGCCCAGGACAGTTTGGGTTACTAAGAATCCGGAATGGATAGGTAGAAGGAAAGAAGGGAAAAAACACGTGAAATGACCTCAGGAAAGGTGGGAAATGGAATGCTGTCAATCTCGTTCGTGAACCCTGCCAAACGGACGGGAAGGTACGATCCCCTAGGTAGGATAGGGCGCGCGCGCGGCTGCCTTGAACCGTCATGTCACCTCACCTTTGGAAAGAGTGAGTCCACTTCTGAAATCAGTTCTTTCCTGTTCGCTCTCAACCACTCTTGCTCTTCGCACGTCCCGTTCGCTCGGGCACAGACGCAGGGCCATACGGCACGTCCACGTCGCCCGGTTTGGGCCTTCCCCGTTTTCCGTCTCGTTGCGTGTACCAAGCCGTTGGGCTGGCAGGCACGTATCGAGATCGAGAGACAGATGGGAGACAGAACACGACCGAACAGACAAGAGAGGGCACGTCAAGCGCTTAGACTGCTCCGTTTGAAAGATGCGACCCGCCGCCGGGTGCGAATGAATGGCTGGAAGGTATGGGTACGCGCCGCCGCCCTCTCTCTTTCCCCAAACCCCGAAATCAAATCTCCAACTCCCCCTGTTAAAATGGAAGGACAAAAAAAATTACAAACCCTCCCCCAAATAGTAGAGAAGAAGAAAAAAAGCACCATCCCGCGCCGCCACGGGTCTAGCATCCCAGGGCTCCGGTGCCAGGAGAGGCTCGACAGGGTCGCAGACGGGGGTACCTTGCCAAAACGAAATGCACCCTGGATCGCTGGAAAGGGCACATCGGCGACCGGTCACCGAGCATGCAGCACCGACCCAATTAGAGGCTCCACCGAAGGGAACCTCTCCAGAAGCAGAACACAGCTGCAGGGCAAGCCCCGAATTTCGAACGTGGTGGTACTGCTGGCTGGTGTGTGTTGGAGTCATTGGGGGCGGCAGAATGCGACAGGAGAGAAATGGGACAATTGCGAGTGGTTCTTGCACACAACGGTTCTATTGCGGTGATTTTGTCAATTCTTGAGTACGTATCTGTAGATATGGGCTCTACGGTAAGGTGCGACTAGACAGTCTTTGCCTGCGCAGCATTGGTTTCCCGTTTACAGATTGCAGAGTACAAACATAGCCAAGAATGTACTATTGTATCGCGCCAAGAGGATTCTTTCTAACCTTGGATATCGAGTCTCTTCTCACACGCCTCACGCCTCACTCTCTCCAAACAGAAGAAGGTACTCCATTTTCAGACACACCTTGTCTTCAACAAGGCCAGCCATGCAGAGGAGGAGTCTCCGTACCTATCTTACTCCGTACCATACCTTAGTAGAACATGCAACGAAAAGGCAGGGCAGGGCAGGGCTCTCTGCAAAATAAGGCAGTGAGGAGCCTGAGGAGTCCTCGGACGGGCCTTCTCCTTGCTCACCCTCACCCTGTCCCGTCCCTCGTCCCCGTTCATCGCACCCTCGTCCTCACAGGCTCACCCTCACTCATACAGCCCAGATCCATTCTCACCTCACCCCATCCATCCCATACCGTCCCATCCTGAGGTGTCTTGCTCTGTGCTGCCCATCACTCATCGAGGGCCACCATCCCATTACCCATCGCCCATTGCCTCGACCGTACCACTAAGGTAGATATATCGGTCCTTCCTCCATCGACGGGCTCCATCGCTCTGACCCTCCCCTCTTCTTTCTATCCTCTTTAACCTGACAGACCCATCCATCCCGAACACATTAGAATCTTCTTTCTTTTCTGTTCTTGTTGTCCCACAGCCTTTTTCATTGATACCTTTTCCATCTGTCCAGCCAGTTGCTTTGTGTGTCTTCTTTTGCTTGCACCGCAACTCTCATCATCAATCACTGCCATACAATTTTGACAGTATTTGGCATTCTCATCCATCGTAGTCTATCTGTACCATCAACCTACAGGTGTGAACTACAGTGCTCTGTCTCTGTATAGAGTAGATATCTCCTCGTCCGTGTCCTCCTCCGCATCGGAACAAGACCGCTTTGCACTTACACACGCTGTGTTGCTTGTCTTGTTCCCTCTCAACACTTTTTTCTCTCATTCTGCCCAGACTACGCCTGCTGCGAACCCGGCAAGACCCCTGCACGCTAAGGCAAGAGCTAGCCATCTTGGACGCCACATTTCATCACCCACCCTGGGACAGCTCGACCAGCTTCCCCATCCTAGCGCAGCGATTGGGTACAGGGCCTTTGAACCGACCCCGAAGAGAGAATTCTCACAGCAGGAGCAGCCCAGGAAGCCCAGGAAGCAGGTGCACCCAGCTAAAGCAACAAAGCGGCGACTGCTCTAAACGGCAGGCCCAGCCAACCACAGTTACCAAACCCAGGCGCACACCCTGTGTGACTCCTCCCTTTTACAAAGGGTCGTCAGCGTAGTCTCTTTTTTTTTTTTCCACGCCTGCCGCCTACCTCGCATATTCGCATCCATGCCTTCCGCAATCTTTCCTGATCACCACCCAGGTCCGTACAAACCAAACCCTTCCAGTCCACCACCCAAGCCATTTCTTTTTTTCTCCCCTTCTACCTCTGCACGCCCAAATCTCAACTCTTCGCCACTTTATTCTTGTCTACCGCCGTCACTATCGACATATTCATTCTTGAACAAGCTTTTGAGTATTAATATACCCTTTTCCATACAAAAAAGACCTTGGTCTTATACAGGCCAAGCAATCTGCTCTGGCGAAGTTGGCCATGAGCTCCAACAAGGATTCACGCGCCCCTTCGTCATCGCCTCCCTCCCACTCTAACAAATCGACCGCCGCCGCGAACTCGAGTTCGAACTACCTTACCGAGCCCCAGGCACTGCCCGTTTCTCACCCTCACGATGGCCTTCTCCCGCCTCCGGCTATGGCGCATGCCGTTCGGTCTATGAACGACTTGAGTGGCCCAATCGCCCTCCGCGATCGCTCCTTGGTCGCAAACTCCGATACCCCTCCTGCGATGCGAAGTGTGGTTTCGACCGCTCCAAATTCCCCTAGAATGTACGTGCAGATCCCCCCAAAAAGAATTTTAGAGTGGTATTACCTCAAGTGAATGCTCCTTCCCTCCTGGCGGCTGAGCATTTTTACAACATCTCACACTCCTCGTATTCTAGAGCTTGGCTAATCGAATAAACCAACAGCCCGCCTGTCAGACAGAATTCTGGAGGAACCACTCCGCGCCTTCGCCCCCACCCCGCCACACTCAATGTCCCTGGCATGACCGTCTCGAGAGCCTCGCCCGACGGCAAGATTAGTGACCGCGACGTCGCTGCGAAGCTGGTTATCGTCATGGTTGGACTTCCCGCGCGCGGAAAGTCCTACATTACCAAGAAGGTCCAGCGTTACCTGTCTTGGCAGCAGTACAGCTCTACAATCTTCAATGTCGGAAACCGCAGACGCGTGGCTGCCGGCATGAGTTCGCCGATGAAGCCTGCCTACTCGCCCGCTGCCGTTAGACTCGACCCGCCGGCCCAGGCTGCTTCGATCCTGCTTAATGGTCATGCTTCCCGTGGCAATAAGGAGCCTGCGGAGCTGAACCTCAATGAGGAGAGCGACGGCATTGACCAGTCCGCCAAGTTCTTCGACCCGACCAACGAGACTGCGGCCAAGCTCCGGGAGCAGGTGGCTTTGGACACTCTCGACGAGCTTCTGGACTACCTTCTGCACCAGGGCGGTTCCGTCGGCATCCTCGATGCGACAAACAGCACTATCCACCGCCGCCAGCTTCTGGTCGACCGAATCAAGGCGCGCGAGCCTAAGCTCGGAATTCTCTTCATCGAGAGTATCTGCCACGATCAGAACGTAAGTGTTCTCACCGCCCTTGTCTCTTAAAATTTCATCTAACGTGTTTGCAGCTTCTCGAGGCCAACATGCGCCTGAAGCTTTCTGGCCCCGACTACAAGGACAAGGATCCTCACCAGTCTCTTGCTGATTTCAAGAGACGTGTCGCCGCCTACGAGAGCGCTTATGTCCCTCTTGGAGAGTACGAGGAGGCGCACGACATGCAGTATATTCAGGTATGTTTAAGCCCTGGCGCAGAGTAACACAATTCGCTAACGCGCCGCCAAAGATGATTGATGTTGGCCGCAAGCTGGTCCAGTATAGATTGCGGGGCTTCCTGAGCGGCGGCATCAGCTCCTACCTGACGACATTCAACCTTGCGCCGCGCCAGATATGGTTGACCCGGCATGGACAGAGTGTCGATAACCGCAATGGAAAGCTCGGCGGAGATTCCGACCTTACCGCCGACGGAGAGCTCTACGGACAGGCTCTCCACCGATTCATGACCCAGAAGCGCAAGGAGTGGCTCATTGAGCAGAAAGATAAGATCGCTCAGTCGTCATTCCCGCCCAAGGCCGGCGACCACACCCCGCCGTATCCCGAGCTGAATCGGGAACTGGACGAGAAGAATTTCTGCGTCTGGACCTCGATGCTTAAGCGCAGCGTGCAGACGGCACAGCAGTTCGACAATGACGACGACTACGACGTCAAGGCTTGGGCGGTGCTGAACGAGCTCAACGCTGGCCTTTTTGAGGGCATGACGTATGAGGAGATCGCCAGAAGATTCCCTGCCGAGTATAAGAAGCGCGCTGCGGATAAGCTCCATTACACCTACCCGGGTGTCGGTGGAGAAGGATATCTCCAGGTCATCGCTCGCTTGCGCGATATTGTCCGCGAGATTGAGCGTATCGAGGATCACGTTCTCATTGTTGGACACCGCTCGGTCTGCCGTGTGCTCATGGCTTACTTTATGGATTTATCCCGTGACGAGATCGCTGACTTGGATGTTCCTCTGGGCATGCTTTACTCTATCGAGCCTAAGCCCTACGGCTACGACTTCCACGCGTACCGCTACCTGCCGGAAAAGGGAACGTTCATCGAGCAACCCAACTACCGCCCGCAGCGCACCGTTAACCGCGACGCTTGAGATCAGAGCCAAAGACAGGCTTTGACTGTATCATATGACGACCTGTACAACACGAATGGAATTCCGGAAAGGAGTTTGGGGCGTTGAGGAAAACTCAACTATGACCACGATTTTGCTCATTTTTTGGAAGGGGGGACTTTTTTTTCTTTTTTTGGAAGGACGTGGGAAAACACGATCCCACACACATGATTTGCTCTTACTTGCTACTACTTGAACCAGGGACTTCTTCAACCTCGGAGGCGGGAAGAGGATTGAAGCATTTGCTCGGCGTTTGGGAATCCAATACGGCCATCTGACGAAAGAGGTCAAAAAGATACCCATGACGCAAGGATTCACGAGAGACATAGCCGGATGGCCCTCTCATTGCTCAATTTTGTAAGGCTTGTTCAAACAACACAAGCCATTAGCTTCTTCTAGGCAGATAGGAGAAAGAAGTCTACCATGAACATGCTGTGCCGATGAAGTGACGTTGAATGATGATGCAGTGCCCAGAGATCCCTGGGATCTGACTAAACAAGTTTGCCTTCCCGAAGATCTGGATGGCCTGACTAACAAAGTGACAATCTGACGTTGCCTTGTTGCGTGTCAGTGTACTGCTCATGCTCTGGGCCGACATCCTGTAGGAATGGCAGACAGTGGAGGCTCCGCCGAGGTGCACTAGCGTCCGTTCGGCAGATGTAACCGTAGAACCAATCCATGGGTAATGATGTGATGTGACAGGACAAGGGGGACCGTTATTTGTTTCTTTGGTAATGGATTGTCTTGTTCCTGACAAGTCTCTAGTAGGCAGGGCGGGATGGAACTGTGGCGTGACACACACACCCAATCCAGATCCGCGGGTGTGGCCGGGAGAGCCGCACCGGGTGAAACTCGGCGTTGAGTGAGGCTCAAAGGGCTCGGCGGTGTCCGCCCCCTTGTCTTGTTCTTTCTCTTTGTCACGAGGTTTGGCGGACCGAATTGTGATATTCGGGCCGAGGGTTTCTACGAATGGTCGTTTTTGGCGGCTTGGGTTTGGGGTCTTGGCATGAGATGTCGTCGGGTGATGTTGGTAATTGGTTTGGTGGTTGAGAGTCGGTGTGGTGTGACTGTGAGGTAATCTTGAGATTGGGCGTGTCTAGAGGGGGATTTCCACTTGTGAGGCTTAGATATTCTTAGATACTGGGACCCTAGATCAGGATGGGAGGTGTCTTGGGGGCAACGTGTAGACCAGTACCTCAGGCTCTGGGTTCATGATCAT